ATACATACATATTAATAATAACGTGACGTATTTCAGTTATTTATCGTAATTAAAAATATTTATTATACAATAACACCCATACATTTTTAAAATAAGAATGTATTCACTAGTGACTAGGTATATAGTGAATAAAATATGTGTGTATTAACAGGGTGCTGGGTTATGATGCGCCGCCCGAGCGTTGTCCGGGTAAACGGCTTTATTTGTAGATAGCTACTGATTTTTGTGTCATATTTGTTAATTTAAACTAACAAACCTGCACAAACCATTTTTTTCTGTTAAATTATTTTTACACTGGGTAATATAAAATATATTTATTGTTAAAACTTTTAAGTTTACTTGTGAATTTGTGGAAAAATACAAACGAATTATAAATCAATTTACCTACTTTCTAAATACATGTATGCATAAATTAAAATGACTAAAATGGGCATGGATTTTCAAGACTTAATGCTGTTGTCTACAATTTATAACGGAAATTTAGGCCCCATAAAATTTTAAACCAAGTTATGTTTACTACTTAAAAGGGTTACAACTGTTATTTTCATATTGTCTTAAAGGCAATAATTATAATATAAACGTATGAGTATAATAATTATGATTAAGCAGATATTAGTAATGTAATATTGTTTCGTTTAGATAATGGATAACAAAAATAACTAAATATTTTCGGTTTTAGAAATACAACCTGTATTCAGGGTTGGGCAATATACTTGAAAAATGTATCTAGATACTAGGTATCAGATACATTACATCAATTTTCACCCGAAGTATAATTAATTATTATTGTTATCTTTTTTAATTGCAAGAAACGTCAACCTTTGTATTAATTTTTTACATGAAAACAGTGACGCCGAAGTCAGTTTTTAGAAGTTATACAAAGCATCCTTGCCTATCCACAGTTGGTTGAGCGACTGCTCTCAATTTTTTTCCACCCATCGGCATCAGATCTAAATCTTAATAATTACCAATAATAATTAGTAAATTTAATCATTAGCGTTTAGGTTTATCATAATTTATAATGTTTGCTGTGATGATAAATAAAATAATTTAGAACATTCATAAATTAAAATAATATTAGCTAGTATGTTTCGCAGGTTTACTACACCCACCCACCCATAACAGTTATTTCAACTGCAATACCAGGATATAGGGATAGGCGCTAATGCATGAAGATATCTAAATAATTTAATCGACAAAATTAGGTGGGTATAATATTACCATCATGGGTGGATCCAGCATCTATTTACGATCTAGGCACTTAATAGAAGAAATATTATAATACAGCTGATCATAGGCGTATGTACCAGGGGCATATTTAGACTTAATTATAAGGGGGGGGGGGGCGACTCATATTTTTCCTTTAATTCAGACTCAAAATTTACAAGTAAAATGTTTGGTAATATTTAAATCAGGTAAATCCTTAATATTTGTGTTTTTTTTTTTTTTTAATCTAATGCCGGATCCACTTAGAATCGACTTTGTGTAGTTCTGTTTTAACACCTATCCGTGTTTTGAAAGTTACGCTTGTGTCTTATTTGATTTTTCACTTAGTATGGACTCGACAAAAAGTCCAATTCAGAATTCACAGCAACGTGTAATTTGATTTCGTTAAAAAATGATCCACATTAAAACATTTGAAATGAGGATTTCGCATATAATAAATTCCTTAAATACGGATTCAAGGGGGTGATCGCCCCTTCGCCCCCCTAAATTATGCCCATGGCCGCAAGTTGAAAACGGCTACAATGTGTTTTTTAATCATTGGCCAACAAATAAAAAGCACTGTTTTATCAATTAATTGTGACTACACTTCAATATTCAATTGTACTATATTATTAACTATACTATATTATAACCCATTTTTATTAAATTATAAAATAATATAATTAATACTCGTAAATTAATATATAAATAAATAAATAAGTAGTTTATATAACTATATAAAATATTTATTTATTTATATATTAGTATTTATTACGCAACCAAAATTCTAGTAAAGATAATATGCAATTGAATTAAGAATATTGTAGAAAAGTAATTAAACAACGACTAATTCGGGTTAAAAAAACAGAGGTAATAGAGAGGCGCATTTTAGGAGGGGGTAAAGGGGGAAATTGACCCGGGTGCCAACATTTTAGAGGCATGTCAAAATTTGTTTTTGTTTTCATAGTTAATGACTAATTATATTGTAAAAACCGTACTTAAAGTTAAATTATTGAGTCCATTCTGATTTCTGACACACTTAAGTTATAATTAAAGTAATAAAATTGAAGACTATAAAATTATTAATTTGATAATCTTCATTGATTCTGTGTAGAATATAATGGCCTAGTCTGATTATTGAACTACGGACACGATTTAAAATTTAAACTTGTAATCTGTCAGATTGTGACTCCATCTAAGTAATTAAATAAAGTTATATCTTAATTTAATTTAAAATATATACCTATTGTATTTTAAAACTTATCGACTCCAATTAATTTAAATCTTTACATCGATGTCTAATTCGGGTGTATTGGGACTCATTTAACCATACAGGGCGACTCAAATGAGTCTATTATATTTTTATATATCAGTCATGATGAGCAGGGGTCGAATCTTGGAAAATTATCGAAAAATAGTATCACTGAATCATTAATAAGATTTATATCTTGTTGAAGGAAATTTAAACGTCATAATCTATTTAAATTTTATATTTAATTTTTGTAAATAATTTAAATGGTAAAATAAATATAGAAGATTAATAATAAAATAATACAAATAATTAATAAGAATAAGGATTTATTTGGTAACAAAAAAAAAATGTTTTTCAATGTTAAAAATTTTATTACTTTTATTATTAAGCGCATTTTTAAAAAAAAATTATATTATGATTGCATTAAATTACATTTTTTAAAGAGATTTTCCTTGTTTTTTAGAGCAATTAAATCCATTTCTTACTGATATATAATATTAATAATAATATTTACATATGTTATTCTAACAATTTACATTTATTTGTCATGTTTTTTATAGCAGGTTGATACTAGAATTTATTATTTTTGTTAATTGAGTTCAGAGTCTGTTAAATAATATAATGTACGTTAACATTTAGAACAACAATAGTATTTACAAATATAGGTAGTATTCTCGGTATTTCTTATCTTAGATATAAAATGTTGAAAGACTAAACAATTTTTATTTAAAAATAATAAAATAATACAGAGGTGTTTATGTATAAAGTAGGTATCACATAAATTGGATTTAAAAAAAATGAATGACGATAATTAATTTTATATCTGAAATTTGAAATCATTACCTAAGTTATTAATTAAATCAAAATTATTATCATACATATTTTGAAGATAGAAAATTGGAATAGGGTCAATTGCATATGTTTTTGTACGTATTAGATTTTTTTTAAGTTTATGTAATATACGTATATACATACGTCAATCCGTTTTTGAAGTCATTATTAATTAAAACATTTAAATTATATTTAGAAAATTTGACCTTTAACGCATACAATAAAATTATTATTAATAATTATTATACTTTAAATGTTAAAAAGTATTAAGTCAATATCTATTATTAATACTTTTTCATCTATACTAATTTGTGCAACTAAAAGTTATATGTATAAAAAATGTACCAAAAGTCAATTATACAATGTTAAGATTGTTGCAAGTCTATTAATAGCCAATTAATGTAATGTACATATTAATCTGGAGTTAGTACGTCATAAATAAGCGAAGATGGCTTCAATGTCTATATTCTCTTGAGCAGCGTTTCCCAAACTGGGCACCGCGAGCACTTTTTAAGGGCACTGTGGTCTATGGTTCAAAACAAATAATTTAAAATGTATAGAATTTTTTGCCTTTTTGTTTTCGTTAAAACTTTATAGCAAATAATGTAATATATACTGTTGTATCTTCGGATATTCTTATTTTAACCCTATAGTATTTTGATGTACCTAATAATTATAATCAGAGGCGTTCTCTAAATGTATTGAAAGGTGAGCCGTAGGGGTCAAGTCCTCACACTTCCTTTTTTATATAAAAATAACATTCATAAAATTAAAATTAAAAATATTATATTGTTAATTAAAATATTAAATTATAATATATACCTATAAATATAATAATATAAATAAAATATTAATTATTTTTAAGCCATCATATCAAGAACTTTGACATCAATTGGGATTTCTCTATGGGTGGCTAACAATGGGAAGCCTTTAATATCATTCTATGAATGACATCAAATTATAAAAAATATGAAGTTATAATATTAACCTTAGAAAAAAAATTTAGTATACTTGAATTACTTCCTTTCATTTTGATCAAAAATAAAATAAATGCAAGTCAGTTGTCAGTCGTAACTCATCAATACACTAAACAAATCGCTAAAAACAGTTGATAAACACAAATATGTTATTACTTGTATAATCGATGGTATCTTGCGACTAATTTATTGTTCACATTTTACATCAATATAATATTGATTACGGATATTAATCTGTTATTTGTATACCAATTGGATACTCGCATAGAAAATATTGAGTCAAAAATATATTTCTTTATTTAATTTTCATTAAAACATCACTCATCAGTTAATCGTGAAAAGACATCTTACTTAAAAAAAAAAAAAGGCAATCCCCTATAATATAGAGTCTATATCACCCCCGCGAGAACACCCATGATTATAATCATAATAACAATAATTTTTATTTATTTATTTATTAAGTTTAAAAATGCGTTAATTAATAATTAAGTTAAATGTTAATAAAATTAATAAAATTAGTTATCAATGAGAATTTGTTTTGTTCTGTCTTTTATGTTATTCAAAGCAGGGGAACCTTGGCTATATTGGGTTCAAAAAGAGGCACCGCGGAAAAAAGTTTTGGAACCACTATTCTTGAGAATCTTATTCCTCAGTTAAAATGAATGTTTAATTTTTCTTAAGTATATTAGCTTTGAAGATTTGATAGTAATAAATAAATGTAATGTCCATAAAAATGTATATATTTGAATAGAAAAATGTGTATACAGTAATATTATATGATAGTTAAAATAATTTTTTTCTTAGTTTTCAAATTTCCATTAGTCTGTCCACTGCAGTGAGTACTTCATTGTAATGTTTTTCTAAAACAAAATATTTATAATTATTAATTTTATTAGAGTTCAAGTTTTTTGTGATAATTATATATTATTAAACTTAAATATACTTTTATTTTTTTAAAAAACAATACATACTCTAAGTAAGGACACATATTTATATTTTTAACAATATAATTCACTACAATAAACCTCGTGTAAATGGTTAAAATTTATAATTTTCAAATTGGAAATATATTTAAGTGAATGATAACAATTATATTATTAAAAAAATTATAAAGCAACCTTCAAGTTAGATTATACTACTAATAATAGGTGTTACTGACACAATAAGTACAACATATTTGTATGTACAAGTATTGTTTTTGCACAGCAAATTATTAGACTAAGGTAAAAAAATAGTCTGAGAAACAAATGTTGCTTAAATATATTTATTTAATTTGGTAGAAATTTTTTGTTATTCTCATAATTCAATTTATCTCTTTCTTACCTTTTTTTTTCACCATTATTTTACTTATAGATACTATGTTTTTAAAATTAGTATTAATGGAAACATTGTCAATGAAAATAACAGTAAATTTCATTATAACGAATAAAACATTATTTCTTTATTTAAACACATTTTTATTATTCATCAGTAAATCTGTATATTTAATTTGTATTTATATTTGTAATAGCATTGTTTTAATGTTTCAGAAGGCAAAAAAAAACGTTATTACCAGTCTTTATTACACTTGCCTAAGCTTTAAATAATTATAATTATTTATAGTTTAATCAATGAAATACATATTATTTTTCAAATCTCAAACTAAATAATTAGCCAAATGTACAACATGTTGTGCATAATGAAAATTATTAAACATTCTCTTTTATCACCAATTATAATAAAATTAATTTCTATAAAACCCTGCCTGAAAATTTTTGATATTAAAATTATGAAAAAAAAAACCATCAATATTATTTATAAATCAATATTTAGAATGTAATAAACTCAATAATACTTAACACAATATAACTATAGAAAAATAATGGTTATGGTCATCAAGAAAACAAAATCAGATAAAACAAAACATTTCTTTTATGAAGACATAGAATATGTGATCTATGGAAAGAATTAAGTGGAAGTCAAACATATTACATTTTTAAATGATTGTAGAAATTTACCATGGAATATATTTTTACAGAATGACTTCTCTATGATAAGTTATTTTAAAACTATATTGTATTATAAAAAAAAAAAATTAAACTAAATTTTTATGAAAATCTTGTTGAAGTATTCAGTTCTAAAATTTGAAATGAATGTATATTACATTTATATAACATAATGAAACGACTAATATTATACATTCAAATATTTAATAACTATAAAACCTAAATTATTATTTATTTTATAATTATAAATTTTACATTTCAATTAAATTTAAAAATAATAACTCAGATGTTTAATTCACATCAGAGACCAAAAAGGTATATTTTTTTCTTGCAAATATTATGAAATTAAGATAAAAATATGCAAAAGAAACATTATAAAATTATTTTAAATATTGATATTAAATTACCTCCAGGTGGGACCTTGAAATTACCACTTATCAAACAGTCTTTGAGATCACAGCCAGCACTAATTATAGCATCATGACATACTATACAATTTTGAAGCACACATCTAAAAAGTTTAATATTTATATTATACAATAATTAAATGCAAACATTAATATAAGATTTTAATTTTGATCAAAAAATCTTAGATTATTTATAAAATATACATAAAAGTAAATTTCAGGTATTTTATTTATTAGAACTAAAGCTCAACTTAGAATGGAGCAATGGGGATGGTATTGTAAATTATATTCTTGATAAAACCAATATTTATTATCTAGATTATCTTTAAATTATAAATATTACTTTAGATATAAAATGTATTTAAATATCATTGTTTCACTAAAAATTCTATTTCACTGCAAAATTATATAGTAGATACTAAATTATTATCTATTAGATAAGATATTTATTAAAATATCTAGAACCAAATACTACAGTATCTTCTTTTATTGAACTATTTTCTTTGTTTTTTAACTTAAAATGCAAAGTTTGACAATTTATAGCCTTTTATGTGTTTATAGGAAACATGATTACATTATTTACCTCTCTTCAATAATAACACCATTCATTAAAATACAATCAGTTACTCTAGTTTTTGAGTTAACTGTGCATCTTGAACCAATAGTACTATTTTTTATGGATGTTTTTTCCATAATTGTAGTATTTGATCCAACAAAACATGTTTCCCTATCAAATTGATTGGATAAGATTTTAGCTTCAGGTGAAATTTTATCTTTTTCATCACCTAAATGTATGTTTAATTTGTTAATCTATAAAAATATAAATAAAATGCAAAATTTAGAATTGAATAAATTTATTAATTAGGCTTATTACTTACAATTTTATTGATTCTACAGTAATCATATAGAGTGTTGGCACGAACTCCAATATTTGAGTTTACCACAAAAGCAAAACATTTAATTACTTCTTCAGAGTTAATCATACTACCAAAACTGGACAAAGAACGAATCTTATTTTCAATATCAGATTCTTTTGGTATATTAAAAATATCAGGTTTTTCGTTTTCTTCAACAAATTTTTCACTTGATTCCACATTTTTACAATGTTTAGATAGTTGTTTTTTCACTACAAAAGGAAGTAACTCACCCTTTAGAGTAGATATATTTCTAAAAATAAAAATTTAATATGTAAAGTAAAATTTGAATAAAAAAAAAATCCACTTACTTATCTTTTACAAGATAATTGACGAGCCATCGTTTCATAACATACATATGAGAATCTAATAATTGTGAGCAAAGAGTTATATTTGAACATTTATACAACAATGAACTACTTAATAACATAGTTTCTTCATAGTCTGAAGCTGAAGCCATTAACAATAATCTAGAAGTTTTTGAATCATATCCAATGATATCTTTTTCTACAACATTATTGATTAGGAATTAAATTAGATTCAAAATTAATTGAAAAAGATACTATAATTGCATTGTACATGAAGTAAAAATTAAAAATTAAACCCTTTATAGGTTAGCAATGTTATTTGATATTTTGTACTAATTCATGCAATTATAATATTGTTTATATAATACGGCTAATATTGAAAAGTTTATAACAATATTCTTCTAAAATAAAAATGTAAATATTTATAATTTTACCAAGTTTATTTTTTGATTTAGGCCCAGGAACTGTAAAAATATACTGGTCATCTTGTGGTGGTGAAAAGTATAAAGACACCAATGATGCATTATTATTTCTATAGACATTTAAAACGTTATGTAAATCGACATCAGTTATTAAGTCACAACTCAGAACAATTACATCGGTCTATAAAAAAATCATATTTTATAAATAAATAGTCAATAAAAAATATTCAGAATAATTAATTAATTACTATTTACCAAAATATAATCAGCTATATGTCGGAGAGAATCAGCTGTACCCCAATCTTCATCAGATGGTATTGGAATAAAATTTAAATTCATTTCAAAACCAAAACGATCTACTTCTTCTTGTATATCACTGGCATAATTATCTGTTACAATAATTTTTGTTTCTGAAATAGCAATGTAAATAACATCAGTAAATAAGAGAATTTTAAAACGCTCATATTTAAGGTAAAGACAAAAAACACAATGATTTTTACTAAAATTGTTCCACCTCTAATTACATTTTACAAAATTGATTATTCAATTAGCTCGGTATGTTAAGTCTGTCATTGATTCTATCATGTTTTCATGAAAAAAGTAAGTTAAAAAAGATAGTCGGATCCAAATTTAATCTTTTTAATAAAACGTCATCAGTGAACATAAGTAGTTTGCAGAATTTGGTATCATTGTTGTCAATAGTAAATTTTATGCATACAGCGTGTCAGCATTGACCTTACCACTAAACCCGGCGTTTTCGAGCATCTTGAGCGGATAGTAGATCATCGGCTTATTACCGACTGGCAGCAGACATTTGGGTTTCGTGGCCGTCATCTCCGGAATTCTAGATCCCTTTCCGGCGGCCATAACGACCGCCTGAAATTCCAACCAATTTTGCATGGTGTCAAACAAAAGCACGACAAAACAGTACCTGAAAAGCGAAACTCGTCTGTTGGTCGATCGATATTCGATAGGGCGAAAACAGACGTAGAAGGATCGTTTCGTATCCGCGGTTGCAGATTAGTTGACTGGCCACTCGTAAATACTCGATGGAGTGATATGATAACACACGTGATAAGCGCTATCAGCCCGAATCGACGTTCCAGTGATAGAATAATAATAATAATAATAATAATGTTGCTCTGTGGTTCCAGCACAGCCCGTAGCAACAGCTGAGACCTGGACAACGGTGTCGTTCCAGCGACCCGTATGATTGCGAGAGGGGTGGGACAAGAACCCATAGAGGTGGTGGCCCAGTGCGGCCACGGGACTGGAAAAATGGTTAGCGAATGTACGTATACCCGCGACCGCCGTCAGGTTTCCTTAGCTGTCCGATCGCCGGCACACTCGATTGCCGCGTCTTCCGCCGTGCCGTTTCCAAGGTGCCTGGCCACAGCAATCGCAACACGGTAGTTTTCCGCTCGTTAAAATCACCAGGCGGCCGGCAACACTGTACGTTATTGCACCTTTCAGGAACAATGGACTTGTGTGATGATGTTGTAGTTGTAGCGTATGTGTAGTTGTCTGGGAAGAGGGAAGAGAGACGGCCCTACCAATTCCTTCTCCGTTCGCCGTAGATATCCGATATCCATTATTATTATTATTGTTTGTAGAAGTATTATTTTTCCACTCTCTCGCTCTTTCCCTTTGCATTACCACCTCTCTCATTCTCTCGCGCTCTTTTTCCGTCTTTCGTTTCTTTCCTCCCGACAACGTAGCCGTTTCTCTTTCTCTCTGCGGCCCGAACGCGATGACAAAGGGCAACAGAATGGAGGATCTCGAGTATTCGTGATATTCGTCCTCGTTCTACCGAACGCCGCGCTGAGGAGCAACAACACTCGTCACATAATCATCGCTCGACCGTCATCAGTCGAACCTGCTGACACCGCCGTCCGTCGCCGTTATGATTGTTGTCGCAGGGTGATCGGGGTCATAAACCTCTTGTGGCCAAGGGTTCAAGGTTGTCGACCACCGGCGGACTATGATGATACATTAGACGAATCCTCATATCGAATCAGTACGCGCACACGACACTCGGCTCTCAGGATAGCCATTTGAATTTCTACAACTGTGATACATTTCACCCGTAAAAACTGGCGCATCCGGTATTGCCAAGACGTTCCGGAAACGTCCACCACGATGGTCGACCACCGCCAATCATGGATGAAAACATGCTAGCCCTATGGCACGAAAATGACCGATATTCATTCGAGGACTCTGATCGTTTTGAAGAGGACTCGCTGTGTACATGGAGCAGCGAGCCGGAATCAGCGTGTATCAACTGGAGAGGATGGAGAAGACCTACCGAACAGAACACTGAAGATGGTTAGTGTTTACTTTTCTAGAAAAATATTAAAGCTGTTGTGAATTTTTTGGTTTTTTTTGAAAACATTTTTTTTCCATCTTATTCGTACTTTTTATAGATACCTTATAGAATAAAAAATAATTGATAATTAGGTACTAAAATATTCTATACTGCAAATCAAAATTAGTTAAATTGTTGATTGTGTGGTAGATTCGGTACTTAAGTAAATAAATGTAATAAAAGTTTTAACTATGAATAATTGATGTGCTTAAAAATAGGTGTACAATATGTATTACCTATGTATATTTTACAAAGGTTAATTCCTTGTTAATAAAATTTGCAAAATATTTAAATCACATTCAGAAGCAACTAGGTTGGTGTTTATATTATATAGGTATTTGTTATTATTTTAAGTGATTGCTCCAATTCATAAAAAAATACTATGTCTAAAGTTATATAATCATATTTATAAGTATATTACATAGATGTTTAAATATTTGGTGTTGAGTAATTACAAGAAAAAAAAATTAATTATAGAAGAGATTATAATATAGGTAATCAATGGAGACGTATGAAGAGTTAAATGCTTCATGTTTTGTAGCATTAAATTATTAAGTTGTACTCATATTATTAGCACGTTTCCAAATTATCTATTTATAAAAAATAAAAAATAGAATTTGTAATATTTTATACATTCAATTAAGATTTTGTTTCATAGGACTAGATGTGCTTGTTTAATTTTAATATAAATAAAGATAAAAATAATAGTAGTTTATTTTTAAGTATCATTTAAAATATATCAATGTTTTATTGAAATTCCTGAAAGTCTTCTTTTGATAGAAAAATTATTTGGAGAATTAAAACTCTTTCCTACTTTATTCTTAAAATTACGAATTTTGCTGGAAATTGTATTATTATCTTGTAATTTTAAAACGTAATTTTTATGAAAACAATATCATCTTAATAGATTAAATCTTAAACAAGTGAATCAAACAGACAATATTCTTTAAATACATATTTATTTATTATTAAGTACAAATAACATACCAAGTATTTATGAATTTTTAGCATCAATTTTTTTTTACTTATCTTTTATTTATGGTACCTTTGATTGCTAGATAATAAATAACTTAGCGAGGGTACTTCCTAATGTTAATAAAATATGTAGTAAAATCATAAGAGTATTTAACGCTTTATTTGGTTTAAATTCTTGTTTTACTTACCACATTTTAGTTAAAATGTTATGGAATTTATTTAACTGTACATGATTTCATATATTCTATATTTTATGCGTTTATGTTTTAACATTTAATTATTATTATATTTTAAGAAAAGAAAAAATATTTAATGTAGGTTTTATTTGGTATATATGACTGGGTGCGGATCTAGAAATGAAAAAGGGGGGCTATTAAAATGAGTTACTGCCATAATTTGTTACTCATGTAAATTTGTATGAAGTCTTTATTACGTCTAATTTTTTAAATATTTTAAGTACCCACCTATGTACCTAATCTATGGTTCTGCCTAATGTCTAAGAAGGGCTCTCCTTCAGCCCTTATAGCCTCCCCCTTGTATCCACTCCTGTATATGACCTAGTTACTGTTTCTATTTATGTGGCTCATACATGAATAATGTTTCTTGCAATCGAAGTTATTGTATGCTGTTTTATAAGGTCTATGGGTTATTGATTTATAAATGATCAGATTATTTCTTGATTTCCATTACTGACTGTATTGATTATTTCAAAATTTTATACATAGTGCATGATCAAATTTGAAATTTTTCTTTTTTTTACAATTGGTTATTATAATTAAAAAGTTGAAAATTATTTATTATTAAGCTTATAACTTAATTCAGAAATAATTTTAAATATTTATGTATAATAGCCCTGGAAACTAAATCTACATTTTTATCAATTATTGTATGAGTTATATTATATCAGCATATAATAATTTTTTCTTTGTTATTTATTTTTGAGGTTGGTAGACAAGGTCTAAATTATTAGTATATACCAGGGGTTTCCAACCTATGGTTTGCTGGCCGATTCCGGCACTTCAAGTTTTTCAAACCGGCCCGCCAAGTCTACTGATATTTTGTCAATATTATTCCAAATCTGGAATATTGTGCATGTAAAATAATTTCAATAATTAACTCCAGTTACTTATGTGAACAGATGTTTTTAAGAATAAAGTACGTCAAATCTAAGTAAAGAACTAACTTAACTTGAACAGCAAACATTTACAAGTAATGCTGTTGATTTTTATAACAAAGGTTGATACAAACTATCAAGAAATTTTAAAATACAAGCCGTTCTAAACTTCTCAGTAAGCCACTAGTACCTTAATAAAACATTTTAAATTATATTAATAAAAAAAAAATTTTAATTTTTCTAAAATCTAAATAAATATATTTTTTAATTTATTACTTTTCTATTGGTCTAAAAAATGTTGACTCGTAATGTCAAAACATATCTCAGATTTGGCCCGCCGTAAAAAAAAAAGATTGGAGACTCTTGGTATATACTATAAAGGTTTAATAATTTATTAATACCTATTTTAATTATATTCTAGTAAATACTATTTATATTATGTTAAATTTATTGATCATCATGGCTAAAAGATAAAGTTTAAAATTAATTTACGCAACAATTTAATTCTATTTGTTAAAACTTTTACTGCTTTTTTTTGTATTAATAAGTATTAGTCTGAGTTGATTTTATAGAAAGGAAAATAAAGTTAGTTGATATCCAATTGTAAATTTTCATTATTTTTTTATGTATTTGACAAATAAGTTTATTATTCAAATATAATAAACATAAATTGATAAATTATAAAAAAAGTTATATAATTTTAAATATCCTATGATTTCTCTTCAGTATTATGTACTATTATAAGATCAATCTTTAAATAATTTTTAGCTATTATAATGCAAATTGTAAAAAGTCGTATTTGAACTTTTAATTTTTTCAATTTAATGGAAAAGTTGGCAACTTTTAACTAAACTTTTTCGATTATAACTTTATTTACTATGTATAATATTGGTTAATCTACCCATCCTTGAAACTTATAATTTGTATTTTGATATGGTAAGTTATAATATTGGGGTATATGTTAAATTATAAATGTTGGATTCATAATTCATTTTTAGAAGTTTAATAACTCATTCTATATCTATTTGAATCTTATTTATTTAAAATATAATATTATTTTATGTTTTGATTATTTGAATTTTATAATTTAAATATTGTTATTTTTGAAGGTCTTATATTTAATTTATACAGGTGAACTGTTTTTTTTATATTGATAAGTTATTCTAATTAGATACCTTATCTCTATTTTGTAATTGATAGGTTTAAAATGTATAGTTATGTATTGCCATGTCAACTATAAAAAAAAAAAAATTGATATGAGAGTTAAAATAGAAGTATAAGTTCATAGTTTTAAGAAATTCAAATTCTCGTATTTTCTAAATTTACACTCAAGTACTGCCATAAGTATTAAATAGTGGATTGATTATGAATTTTAGTATAATAATATTTTTTTTTTTGTGAATAGTTTTCGTAAATTAAATACATCAGATATTTGTGTAAATGATAGATAACAAATTTTATTTTTTAAATTTATATCGACTCAACAATATAATGTTAAAGTTTTTAGTTTCCTTCAATATCAAAATAATAAAACGAACGTAAAAGTACATGAAGTGAGAAATTAAAGAAATGTGTATTTTTATAGTTACTTCTCAAGTTTTTCAGATAAGGAAGAAACCTATATTTAAATTGGTTTTAATTTTTACTGATACCAATAAACATATTATTATCATAACCATTTAGTAGATATTCCAAATAATGCATTATTTTGAAAACATTTCTGTTACTTATATCGAGCACATATTCAAATATAGTCTGTTTTAGCAGTAAATTGTCCTATCTTTTAAATATTTATATTTATATTTGATGTTAACACGTAACTATAATATTACGAAAACAAATTAGATATAAGTATTTTCAATTATATTGCTGTATGACTTACCTTACCGGAATTTTAATGAAGTACTTACATTTGATAATTTAGTAAATATACTTTTTTGTACATGTTACTACCATTGATCAAATATATAATATATTTAATCAAATGTTCCTATTCTCTCTACTCCCTCTGATGCTCAAATAAACTATTTCATTGTTCGCAGTATTCTAAATATTTTAGGCTTCATATTTCTATGCATTAAAAGTATTCGTCAATATTAATTTATTATTTTATAGTTAAAAATAAAGATCGTATTATAATCGTTTGAATTTTTTTTAACAAGAATACTAATTATCTGTTTATAGAATTGCACAATATACTGGTAGGTAATTATGTGTACGGACTTTGTAGACCTATAACACATTATTATAATAGTGGTATTATCAGTTTTATTGTTCTTTTTACAAATAAATCTGAATCAAAATTATTTGGACGGTTGTTTTTATAAATTGTTATTTCATGTTACCTTAACATTACCTTAATCACTAGTATAATATAGGTAACGTTAATGTCTTGGTAATTAAATACTTTGAAAACAATGTTAGAGGGATATCTGTGTAGCAAGACATCTGGCCTGTTATAATATTAGCTCCATACAATTGTCATACAAGTAGAAATATTTTGTCGATTTGTGGTGATGTATTACTACTTTCGTTTCACTTTTAATAACAAACATCAGCTGCTGAGGGGTACTGCTGCTCTATGACAAACATTTTTAATAAAATATTACAAAAACTAGAATTATTTGCATTATTCGTATGTTTTAATAGAAATAATAATAAAGTCACCTTCCTATGCTTTTTTCTGTATGCATATTCATAATTTTAAGGCACTGAGTACTTGAAAAATCAATAAACGTCTTAACGTTATTGGTGCATTTTAATTGTTAAAATTGTTCGTGGAGACATTATTTTAATTGTTTAGGTTTAAAATTTAAGTATCCGATTATTATACCTAGTTATTATCCTTCTACCGATTTTATAGTCAGTATAAAATATTTAAAAAACCTGAAATTTTTAGTTTTTTAAATTTAAATGGTCTTAATAAATTATTGTTATTCATTTTAACTGTATATACTCGTATTAAGATAAAATATTCTGAATTCACATGAATATATTTAAAATAAGTTATTTTAGGAGATTACACGGATAATTGTATGCGCATTACGATGTTAGAGTAATAAAAAATGTAAAATAAGTTTTTTTTTTACACATCTGTTATATAATATTAAAGAGACTAAAAATTATGACATAATGCGATTATTTTATTATATGCGTTACATAGAAATTAAGATACTTACTCAAGTTCTTCACTAATTGAACTATAATTATTTAACTTTTAATTTTAGTGGAAGTTAATAGAATATGATTGAAAATGTGTGAAAGTTAATTTTTAGTAAATAGAAGATAAATTAATTTTTTTTTTGTAATTATTGTATTGTATTGATGTTTTAAAATACTGAACTGATGGTTTGGATACAAAACGGACACTGAACAGTTATGTATAGACCTTAAAATGGGCATCCGCGTATATGGGCAAAATGGTCTGATCCCAAATCCAATGTAAAAGTTAAAAAAAAAACCCGCATAATATGTATGGGTACTCTGTTCGGTTTATATGGGCAATATTTATTTTATTCATAGTGTTGGAATATGTATTAACAACTTATATAACTGAGTTTTATCCTATCTATGAGATTGTGATTATCAAATTTAATAAGAATCATACACCAATAAATTTGTAACTTTCTTTAGCTCGACTACAATAATTTCAGTTTTATTGTGAATTTCAACGTGATTGTGAATGTTTTCAACTATCTCGAAAAGATATTTCCCTTAAAGAAAAAAAATCGCAATTTTGGACAAAGTGAAGTCTCTTTTATCCTGATACTTAAAAACGGAAAATCGCTGAAGAATTACGCGTCCCAAAACTATATTATTCATAATTATATTATATATTTTTTTATCTATTCATTTAATTTAATTTTTTTCCTCAATTTTATAGTTTCCATGTACGAAATAAAAACTTTTTTATATTAAAAATTGTTTTGAACTAAGTTCAGTTTATATGGTCAAGCGATTGATATATCAATTAATGGGTTTGGTCCCAATGTGTCCACATTAAACGAAATTTACTGTAATGTTAATTTTCGATTTTATTAAAATATCTGCTAAAAGTTTAATCGTCTAATTTTAATGATGTACCCTAAATGTAATTAAGAATATATGAATACAAAATAATTTTAATTAATGTATAGTTTGACATGTGGTGATATATTTTATATCGTTGTGTTTTTCATAAATTATGCAATAAACCGTAGTGTTTGATTAAAATCTAAGAGCTCAATTTATTATTATTAGGGCTCAGATGTTTATTTTTTTTCTATTCATCTAATTTAATGCAGACCCGATTACAAATTTGATTCATGTTTTACTGAATCAAAAAATAATATTTTAATTTTACATATTTTTGCATATTTTGTGATTTTATATTTTAAATGCATATTTTTGAGGTTTTAAGAATATAAATGCTTATTTCAGTTAATTTTCGAAAAATTTAAATTAAAGGGTTGATAAATGATAAATTATCAACCCGTATAATTGTGTTTATCTCAAATATTTTTATATTCAAGTTTGATAAAATTAAAAACTATTGTATCCTAGTGTAACGCTCATTTGGTAAATTATATAATAGGTATTGAAAATATATAAAATACAAAATAAAAAACTAACAGAAATTATATACTTATAAATTATAATACATTTTTAACTTTTAATACTTAAGGTAAAATACAGTTTCATATATTTGTAAAATACATATTTTGGTGTTTTTTTTTTTTCGTACATAAATGCATACATATTACAGTCTTTTAAGTGTGTTAACATCCAAACCAAAATTATCATAGTATTTTTGAAATGTGTATAATAAATTGTATAAAATATATTTGATATTTTATCAGAATATAATATTTTTTTTTTCTTTTATTAATTACTACTGAATATAAATTAAATTTATACTTGTAATCATTCATTTTTCAGAGCCTAAAGAAGAGGTTAAACCGTTAGTTGAATTGGCTGCTCAATGTGTGGCTTTGTATATACCGTATGAGTTAGTTGAACAAGAATATCCACCTGTACCTGAGGAACTCCAGCTTCGCATTGCTTTCTGGAGCTTTCCCGATAACGAAGAAGATATACGCCTGTATTCTTGTCTAGCTAATTCAAATTCTGACGAATTCTTACGAGGCCAAAATTTGTACGTATCCAACGCAATTAAAGATTGTGTGCAAATAGGATTCCATTTGAGTGCCAATGTTCATCATGGTGGCCGAAACGTGTTCAATGTAGCTATTACATTTGATAGAAAAAAAATAACAACTTGTAACTGTACTTGTGAGCCTTTGTCGTATTGGTGTTCCCATGTTGTTGCTGTCTGTTTACATAGAATATATCGCGTAAGGAATTAATTATTAAAACCAAAATATTTCTTATGTATGAAAAAATTTAGATTTTTTTTTTAATAGTGTATTAATATTATTTACATTTTTAATATTTTTATATTTATTTTATTTGCAAAATCTAGCCTGAACAAGTTTGTTTAAGAGCACCTGTTAGCGAGAGTCTTTCACGTTTAGAAAGAGATCAATTACAAAAATTTGCACAGTACCTGATAAGTGAATTACCTCAACAAATACTACCTGCTGCACAACGATTATTGGACTCGCTATTATCTTCACAACCTTCTGCTATTAATTCTGTAAGATTATAATTTAATGAAAAAACAGCATTGTATTATTTTAGTATATATATATATATATATATATATATATATATATATATATATATATATATATATATATATACACTATATTATATAGTATATATGTACTATTCAATTTAAATGTGAAATTTAAATTATTAACTAACTATTGTTGGATTTTAGACAAGTGGTGCCCCAGATCCAACTGCTGGTGCATCTATAAATGAACAAACAACATGGTTTTTAGATGAAAAAACATTGCACAACAATATTCAGAAAAGTTTGATCAAATTTTGTGTTCCTTCACCCCTAGTTATTAGGTAATAATTAAATACATATGAAATATACTTTAATATTAGTTAACTATTAAAATTATCTAACAAATTTAATTTATTTTTAGTGATGTAAACATTTTATCACAATCTGTTCCACCGGCTACTGCAGAATGGACCAATCTATTGCGTCCATTACGTGGTCGTGAACCAGAAGGTTTATGGAATTTATTATCAATTGTTAGAGAAATGTTTCGTAGAAATGACGAAAATGCTTTACATCTATTAGAAGTGCTCACAGTAGAAGCGGTTGCGTGTGATCAAGTACAGTCCAATTTACAATTCTTATTGATATAATTTGTTTATCCTTAACAATTTTAAATTTGTATCTATAGATTATGGTATGGTGGTTTAATACAAGAGTGGCATTACACGGAGGAGGAAGTATAGGAATTAAACATACTGGTCCTGCTGGGAATACAAATACAGCATGTCATGCTTGTGCTTTGTTATGTGATGAAATGGTTACACTTTGGCGTTTGGCTGTTTTAAACCCAAGCATTTCACCTGATCACAAAATATCACTAAAAATGAAATTTAAAGAATGGCAAGAAAATATATTTGCTACAGTATGTTATTTAGTATAATAAAATAAGCTATATAGTATATTGTATAATCAATTTACACAATTTAAATTATAGGTAATGAAACATAGAAATATGTCAAATAGTAAATCATTAAATCATTTTCGCCAAGACACAGAAATTTTTGTTGGTTTCAAGCCAGCTTGGGAAGCTTGTGAACTAAATTGGGATGATTATCCATTAGCTGGTATTACTTATGGAACCACTTGCTGTTGTGATAACGGTTCATGTGTGCATATTAAACGTATGGGAACTGCTGCACACTTTATGACAGATCATGTAAACTGGAATGAAGGTGGTCTATTATCTGCCAGGGTAAGCTAAACAATGAAGAATGACAATGAAGATGTGAAACATATCAAATTATTAGTATTTTTTTTTTTTTTAAGTATTTTTTAATAACTGATTTAATATTTTAGGGGAATTCTTCGCAGTTATGTTTGGATGAATGTTTCTTGGATCTAAGAAGTAATCGACATTTACACTATGGAAATCGAACTCATCAATCAGATTATTGTAGTAGAACCACCAAAGTGCATATGATTTGCAATATACATATGTCCAATAATAAGTATGAATAATTTAAACTTTTCTTTAATATTATTTTTTATTAAACCAAATTATAAATATAGTATTAGACCAATAAATAATATGATCTGGTTGCCAAAAAATAATTTGCGACGTTCACCAGAAGATGAAAGTGCAAGTAGTAGTGTCACTACACCTGAAGCATATTCAAATAATGAATCTTCGAGTGCATCAGAAAGTTGTTCAAGTAATTAAAAATAAATAAATATATTAATATAAAAATAAAGATTTATATATTTATGTTTAATTTTAGATTCTAATGCAACTACAAGTTCCTCTTCAAGTACCCAACCAAGTACACCTCATCAAGTCAATAGTGAATACAATGTATCATCTGAAAGTCAAAGTAGTGATGAAGGTGATAGATTAGCAGCACAAAAATCTACTTCTTCCCAAACGACTTCTCCACCAGATGTAGATGAATATAATTACCTATATTATTATGATCCAAAAAATTTGGCATCAACGTCATCGGAAGGTATTAAAAAGACAGAAACTAAATCTGATACTCCACGACCTTCTACATCAAAAGCATCAGCACCCATCACGCCATTAATTAAATTGGATGAGGAATGGGAAATTATGTTTGCGAGAGCTGAAGGACTTTATGCTTATGGTCATACAAATGAAGCTTGTGTACTTTGTGTGAAGCTTGTTGATCAGTTTTTACAAAATCCTCCAAATTTTATTATTGAATTACCACCACCCATAGTAAAAGGAAAACGTAAAAAAGTATGTATCTAAAAATTTGAAGTTCAGGAGAAATGTATTATTATGCATTTTTAACTATTATTTTAGATTAATCCCATCTGTCATCAGCTGTCTACATTAGCATCAGAAATATTACAGAAATGCTATTTTTTGTGTTCCGTATTAGCTGAACGGAAAGAATATTATTTAGATGCATTTAAAATTGGTTTGTATGGGTTAGAATTGCCGAGACTTCCGGCTAGCACAAAACCATTAGAAGTAAGTTTTATTATTGTTTGATTTTATTACTTTATGGCTTAGTATATGTATAATTAATTTTCAGGTAAAAATGACTCATCAAGAAGGTGAAATATTGAATAATTTAAAACGTATGTTGCCTCTGGGTAAGGAACAAGTGAGCATTATTCAAGTTCGTGCAAAACTTTTACGTGATGGCCAATACAAAACACGTGGTGAATCATTGCTGCCTTTAAATTTGGCTTCCTTTATCTTTGAATGTTTGGTGTTGAATCAGTCACCTACACAGGATAAAGTTTCTGATGAAACATTAGGTTTTGAAGCATCAGTGGCAGCTTTAGGTATGAAAGCCAATATTAGTGAAGCAGACCATCCACTACTCTGTGAAGGAATCCGAAGACAAAGGTATGTCCAAGTATTCTGGATTTGAATATAGATTAAATTTAATAATATTTATAATATTTAATAATGTTGTAGAGCTGATTTGGCTACAAATATATTAATCCGTTACAAGAATAATCCTACACGCTTGGCAATGGCTATGGACAAGTTACTAGACAGAGAAGTACATCCATTTTTTCAATCTGCCATGGATGCTTGTTGGTATCAAATTAGAGATCCTAGAAATTTACCTTTAACGACAATGAAGACGGTTGCTAACAATAATATTCTTAGTCAACGTAAGTTTTTGTTAAAATGAAAAACTAAGTATTTATCATATTTTTATAATAAAAATAATGTTGTTATTGGTTTAAATACATAGCACCACAGTGTTATAACACAAATGTTAAAAACGCACCTGGAGATTTAGAGTCTAATATAGGTGGAATGACATTGAATCCAATACCTCATCAAACTCAGTCTAGTAGTAGTAACACAGGATCATCTCATAGGAAAGATAATAACAGGTAATATTTAATTATATATCTTAATAGTAAGTGTTACATTTTTTATTTTATAGGTATAAAAGTAATAAGCGCATATACCCCAGTCAACCTAATCAAGCTTCTGAAGCAAATGCTCACCATCTTTTTGAATTGGGTAAAACTATTTTGAGCAAAGTTGGTGGACCTTTACAAACCACAGTGTTCTCGCAACCTCCATTGTCTGCCCAACCGCACCGTGCTTTACACATGTGTGCATTCCAACTTGCCTTGTATTCTTTGGGACTTCTTAATCGTGTTACACCCAACTGGATTAGTCGTAATTATTCATCCCAAGTGACATGGATTGGTGACCATGCAATGGAAATAGGTGCACCTGCTACATTATTTTTACTTGGGACATGGGATGGCCATTTGACACCAGTTGAATTAGCAAATATTGCCGATAAAATGTCAAGAAGCCATGAACGTAATACTGTTGAAGCAGCAGCACAATTAGCTTTGTCATGTTTAAAACATTCCGTTGCTCTCAATCCTAATGAAATAACCAGAGCTATTGTACAGGTAATTTATTAAAATATCTTTAACTACTTATTAGTTGTAAATTTAATGAATAATTATTTTTGGGGTGTTTAGTGTAAAGAACAGTCAGATCATATGATGGAAATTGCTTGTCTAACTGTAGAAATGGCGGCTAAAGGTGGGGGAGTTTTTCCTGAAGTCTTATTCAATGTAGCTAAACATTGGTTTGATTTGTACATGAGGGTATGTATATTTTGTGGTTTGTTATTTGAATTATACATTAAATTACATGTGTTTTTCCAGAATTCTAACTCCGATGAAGATAATTATATGTTACAAGTAGACCCAAGAGAAGAATTCAAGTGTCCTTATGTGTATCAAGCCAACTATTCAATGTCAGTTGAAACACCCCAACAACCACCCCCACAATCTCTATACGCTCATCAGTTGATGGTTTCACCACAAACATCTCCAGCTCATCTGTATCAACTATCATACTTTTCAAATCAATCAATTCCTCAAAATTCAGCTCCATCGAGTTCCCAACAGCCTAACACTGTAATGTACTACCCATATCCATCTGTACCTACTCAAAGTCAATACCCACAGTACTATTCTCCATATATACAGGTAATATTGAAATTGATTTAATCAGGAGATCTTTGCTTTAACATGTTGACTACCAAGCCTTATTTTTAAAAATTGTCCTACAGTACCATCATGAGAGTACTCAAGTTCTGTCACTTAATCATTCATTCTGTACCATGAGTATACTCGAGTTATCTCAATAAAATTTTTATTTAATTCATTATTACCACCATCTATTTGTTTATATTTTTACCAAAAGTATATAACTGTCTAATGACACATGTTTTTAACCTCTATTAGCTGTGGGAACACTGGAGCTCTCTCAAAAATCAAGAAATAAAATATTTTTTAAAATATCTCAAAGTGTGTATAATTTATATATATATATATATATTTCATACTTTTGTAAATTTTAAAATATAATTGAACTGCAAAATTAACAATTTAAAAAATATAACAAAATCATTTAACATTTTAAAATAAATCTAAAAGATAAAATAAAAATAAACAAATCCTTTAATAATTATGAACATCTTGTTCTTTTTAAAAAATCTAATAAACTGAAAATGACAAATATTAAGAATTTAGAATATTAAGTATATAAAATATATAAAATATACAAATCAAAACATTAAAATTAATTACATATGAGAAGCTTGGAAACATTCTAAACAAAAAGCTGGATTTCTTTTACAAGAATTACAATATAATGTGGTAGTTTTACAAGTTTTTTGTGAAACTGCTCTTCCTTCTCACTTATATTTAGGTATAAATTTTATAATTTATAACATATACATACTAGTAACATTATTCCACTGTTGAGAATTTTCAGTACTATTATTAGAAAATCTACTTTGGAAAGTATCATTTACAGTAGGAATATCAGAATCAGAACTGTCTGAACGTTGGTCAGAACTAATAGGATTACAATTACTACCAGAATCATATTCAAAAGACTCATCTAAAGCTTCTAAAACAATATCAGAGCCCATTATATTTTGTGAAGAATTATAATAAAATGAACATCAAATTTTTAAAATCAAATTTACTAAACAACAGCAAATATACAAACTTTTAAATGTGTTCCATAATCAATGATAATAATTATTAAATTTCCTTCCAAATTAATTTATACTTTATTAATTAGATAAAAATGTTATTTATATGATATATTCTTATCAAAAGAGATTAAAATTATTATTTTTCATCAGATGGTTATATTTTCTTAAAAACAATTAAAAATTTTGTTAGGGAACTCGGGGACTCACAAAAATTCGAACACATTATTATATGACTTGTGTACCGTGAAAGGACTCGAGTTCTCTCGCCTAAATCATTTCATATTCATAAAATATATGTAAATTCAGTCATTTTTTATAAAAGACGATTTTTTGTATCATTAAATGTTAATGAAATATTGGTTTGGTACATGAGGCAAAAACCTAATAAAATATGCACGGTACACAAGAGTAAAGATAGTGAGAGTACCCTAGTACTCTCATGGTAGTCAACGTGTTGAATAAAAACATAACAATGGATTAAAATATTGTAGTATAATCTTTTTGTGTTTCATGATTTAAGTTTTTATCGATTTACATGGTATTTTTATTTTTGATGAGAAATATGTGGAAATATATTAGAAGTTATACTTCCATGTAAATCTAATGTTTTTTTCTAAATTTCAGAATCCTGTTCAGTATCAAAATGCAAATCCTCAAAGCCAACCTCAACCATCAGGACCGCCTCAATATTTTGTTCAACCTCTTAACCAAAATGGGAATCAAATCAGAAATTCACCACAACAAGCACAGGTTTGTCTTATAATATATTGAAATTGAAATAGTAACATGATGTATGAACTTACTGTATGAATTTATTCATGTAGGCTCCACCAAATTTCCGCCAACTTCATCATTTGACATCTGCCTACCGTGTTGGTTTATTGGCTTTAGACACAATGGCTAGACGTATTCATGAACCTAATCAGGCCAAGTACTCAAGAAACCCACCATTCAGAGAAGACATTCAATGGTTATTGCGTCTGTCGAAGAAACTAGGTACATATTTGTTTTTTTTTGTAGCATTTTTAGTGGCAAAATAAGAAAGTAATATTCGCTTAAAAGTACAATTATTTATTGAATGATATTTATATTTTATTGATTTCTCAGGACCAAACTATACTCAACAGTTTTGTTTAGCTGTAACCAATAGTGTGGTTAATCCTTTCACGCTACATGATGTTGCAATGGAAGCGATTATGTACATGGGACATTTTAATCCTAACCCAACTATGTGCCCAACATTGAGTCCCTTGGTGGAAAAATGTCATTCAATGTTCGTAATATTATTATTATTTCATATTTATTATGAAAATCTCTTTTCTTGTTATATTGAGTGGTTTATATTTATTTATTTATACACTTAATACATACAGGTACATTCAACTGTTACATCAAAAGTTGTATCAATTGTCTTCATCAGATTATGAAGAATATGTCGGAATACTCTATTCTGCTTATGGTGCTTTTGCGATGACACCAGAAGGCAGTACTATGTTTAAAGATTGGTTACAGTCAGTTAGGAGGTAAGGAACGTAATGCGTAAAAATTAATTTAACTGTAATTTTTACCAAAGTTGAGAATTATAAAAGTAAAATAAGAACTTCATAAAATTTAATGTTTATTAAAAATATCGAAGAAGTATATTATTCTTTAAATTTGTATTATATTAAATAAATTCTATATAGTAACAGTTAAGTTTCATGAAAGTAAATTAAAATTAAAAAAATTTGTGGCGAAATCCTTTGGGTGAAATTAAACACTTTTTAATTTGAAAATTGAAACACTTAAGAGTACTTAGGTGTTTTGGAATTAAAATAAATATTATAAACTTTCCCTTTATGGAATATATAAGTATACAAGTAGATGTATGGGTGGCAAGTTATTAATTTATCACAGCTTTCATATTTGCTTTTTATGAATTTATTGATGATTCCTTCCTACTTTACAATGTAGGACTTAACTTTTGACAATATTATTCTTTTGACTTTAAAAATAGTAGTATTTATCTTAACGCTTTAGTTATGATTAGGACTAGGATTTGTATATTACACTATGTTATGGCTAATTCCATAAATAGTTTCATATAATAACTATGATCTGTATTATTATAGTAATATGTCTTAAATATAAATATCAATTAAAGTTGTATTATAATTCATTGAGGTATCAGATACTGTCAATCAATCCAAAACTCTGCTATTTAGTAGGAAAGGGACAATTTTGATTCTTACACAGATACCTGAACTTTGAATTTATAAAACCTATACATTTATTTATTTTTTTTGTTAAAAACTGTAAACTGTTTTTTGAAAAAAACCATAGACATTTTATGGTTGTATTTTATGTTTATAGAAAAAACTGTTATAAATTTCTTTTAACTTTGATGAGGTATTGTCTCGTATTACATGTTTTATATCTATACCATGTAATTACAGAAATCTAATTTTAGAATTTATTTTTTAGTAATTTAGCAATTTTTTAATTTTTAATTTAAATTAGTTAACAATTAGTGTCTGGACAATTAACAAGGAATTAATAGCATTAAATGGAAAAAATTAGCCTATGTACAAAATATTTAGTTTATGAAGCCTGTGTATTGTTGAAAAAAGATAATATAGTACAATGCTATATTTTTGGTTGGGAGAATATGTGAAATATTTGGGAGGGTATTGAAGTCTTAGGTATTATTGTATATTGTACAGAGTGTACAGAGGAGTCTTAAAACAAAAAAAGAATAAAAAGAAAATAAAGTACGACTGAATCAGAATTTGAAGAAGGTTTTACATTCCCTAGAGAGGTTAAGATTGTGGAATCATGAATAGAAAGGTCAAGGAAATTTGAACTTCATTAAATTTGCTCTAATATATAGTGTCTACTTTAAATTTAATAATTTTTAATTATTTTGTATTTATCTTTTCAGGTCGAAATCATGTAAAAAAGAACTATGGACAATGATAACAAATATGCTACCTACTACATGACATTGGTGCTCTGAAGTAGTTGTATTCTCTGAGGGCAGCGTTTCGCCCTAAACAACAACGTATAGCTATTTAGTTTTCCTTTTTATTTTTCTTATTTTACTATTTTTAAACAATTTAATACATACACAGTTTAAGAAAAACGGATATCTTAAATGATTTTCTATATTTAAATATTGTGTCGATCTTATCTTTTATCTCATAACATTCATAACAAATTTTTTAGAATACATTAGTTAATTTTTTTTTTAATTTTTTTTATTACTTTTTTTTCAATTAGCTAATTTCTTGTGAATTATTATATTAGTATTAATATTATTTTGAATCACATTTATCTATATATTTTTCTTACTTTCTATTCTTTTATTATTACTATAATTTCGATTTTCAGGTCTTATTTTCTTTATAATTGTACACGCATTAAGTCCGGTACACTGTATAAGCATAAGCTGAATATTATAATAAGACTGTTTTTTTTTTTTTATGTACTTCAAACGTACAAGTATTATTAACATCATAGACTAATGTTTATTGTGTAGCTTATGTTTCTAAGGCTTTAAACATAATGAATAGTTTAAAAAAAAAAAACTAAGACTTAGGTAACCTAATTTGTGAAGGAAAGTTTTTGTTTCCCTTTCATTCCTCCCCAATTCAGGACTACTTACGAAAATATTATTTGAGATCTCTAGGATATTAACTCGACTGATGATAATAAAAATGTAGCAAATTGTGTAATATTATTTTCCTGTATTGTCATCACCGTGGTCAATTTCGTCAAAAATAACATTCGCTGCTAGATTATTCAATTAATTTCTTAATAAGATTCTAATATATATATTAAATAAAATGTGTTTTAAATTTTATGTATTTATACAATTACATTAGATATATATGTTTGTGTATTTTCGTGTGTAGCTTAAAATAAAAAAATTTAAATTGCCGTCTAGAACTTTTAGATAATTAACCAACTGAACGTATTTTTTCACATATTTCGGTTGTACAAAATATATGTATTTTTATGCTTTTCGATAGCCTATCAATATGTAGAATTCATGATTTTAATAACCAAACCTAGATATTATATAGTAATATTTATAATTACTAATTATAAAAATATGATGTTTGCTCTCGAAATGTGTTATTAATATTTTATTGTTTATATTACGCTTTTAATTATTTGATTTCGTAACTTCATTTTTGTGAATTGTATTTTTAATTAAAGCAATGTCCGCTCGCTCACTCACCTATGCTCACCTTAGTACTTAAAGATACTTAAACTAATTACAATGGAAAAAAATTAATTATAGAGGGTATTAAAACTAAAGTATATATTTCTTCAAAATTAAATTATTTTCCCACTACAATCCATATTATAATTGAATTTAAAATGTAAAAACAAAAAAGTGTTAATTGTGTATATTTATATATGTATATGTATGTATACAAATATACTTATCTACTCTTAATACTTTTAATAATTAATTTTAACAAAAAAATATATATATATAAAATCATATATTAGTTATTGAATGTTTTATTTTGTAAAATGTATTTTAATTTTATTTCGTATTTTTTTTTTTTTTTTTTTTTTGTGATTTGTGAAATTATATCAAACTCGTAATATTACATTATGCGTGTTTTTGAGTTTATATATTATATATAAGCAATTATATATTATAAAATTAATCAGTTATTATGAAATATATATAATAGCCTTACATAATAATTTATAGGCTAAAGTAATATTTATTATTTTATTTTTTTTTATTATAATTATTTTTAAACCTTACACAGGTGCAGATTGATACGATAACACTGAGTGTTACCGTTTTCTATTGCACTCCAAGAACTGATGACTGTTTGTGGCTTATCTAATATTTTGATTTGAGATACATTAATACGTGGTCTTGTGTGCAATGATCAGCAAAAATAAGGAAAAAAAGTGTTATTAGCTTCGTTTGTTTGCGGTGCGCTTTGAACGTTGGGTCACTAAAACGATCACCCCACCCGTTTTCTACGAACATGATACAATTTTCAGTCAGATTCGATGCTGTTTTTGACTGTTAAGAATGTTTCATGAGAGTATCGAGATCAGATACGAATCCCGGTACATTCTGTCCATCGTCCAGATGGTGGTGGGCCATAGCTATAGAAATGTGAAATAAGGAAAACACCGAACAACAGTATGATCACGAAAAGAAGAAAAGGAAAAATAGAGGTGATATACATATTTTTCCGTGCCATCACACCACAATGCGTGACTTCCGAGTGACGAAACCGAATGCGCTTAATGTTAGGTTTCAAATAGTCCGATTGAGGTCCAAAGCTTAAACACGCGGTGCTGCTAATGTCGTTTGTTGTTTTCGAACCGCATTGAATTTTTATTTATTTTTATTGAATACGACTTCATTGACGTGACCGGGGTTAGTTTTCCGGTACAAATTTTCACCAAGGGGGAAAAAAAACGTTTCCTTTAAAGCATTCAACGACTTCTTGTAGATTCTACGCGGCAGTAGTGTGCGGTCCGTCGCTCATCACACGACAATGATTACCACCTACGTTCGGTTTCGGTCACCGTTAAGTTTAGAAAACGTTATACGTCGACTGTTTAGAACGGGGGAGGCGGGCGATTTCAATCGGAACCCGGAAGATAAAAACGATAAATGGCACGTGTACGAGATGCTTAGAAATAACATACATATCAATAGCGGTTTTCTTGACTTCTACGGGAACCATCGACCACCATTTTTGTCCGCGAATCCCGAATACAATCCTTTCGTGGCCGACCACTGTGTACGTATTGACTTATCGATAAACGTTTACGCGCGCCCGCGCACGTGTTATAATTATTGATATCCATTTATCAAGTCTGCCGGCGCGAAGAACGCCGGCGGAAAAGAGACGTCCGGGCTGTACGCGACAGTAAATACACCGCTCGTCGGACGAGGCGCGATGGCCCATAACGTTATACTTCCGGCGGAAGTTTAATCCCGTCTCGCTGGTAAAATATTCGGACGATTTTTCATTTTTTTTTCCGCTTCCACTCCGCCCCGCGCCGTCGGAAATTTAATCCCGAACGGTAGCTCGACGAATTTCGCGGATACGCATCGTCGGCGCGGCGGCGTACCTGCGCAACAACGCGGTGTACATACGGTAATAAATTACTCCACGGTGTAGGTTGGTTTAAACCCCGAAACGATACTTCAGTCTCTAAAAATTCTGCAAAAAAAAAAAATTTACGAATCATTTTATTTTACTTTTGTATAAATAACATTTTATGAATAGGGGGAGGGGGAAATAATCAAATTCAACATTACTTTTCCCGACGACACGACGATAGGAGAAGGTTTACCTGATGGTTTGCTAGGATTACGTAAAAACGACGCGTAAACGTAAAACTAAACATAAAATCTCCAAATTTAAATTTTATACCCGAAAATTTTAAAAATGCACTAAAAAAAACGAAATAACATATAATCGAAACGTTAATTCTCAAGAACACGAAAAATATTTAAGACCAGATCTCGTATTCTTATTCAAGAGTATGAGGGACGAACGTGTAAAGGATACGAGCTTAGGCGCAGGAAAACAATGCAAAGTGCATCGGAATTATACCGCACGCGTACGTGCCGGAGCTCGACCGTTATAAGGGCGAGGGGGGGGGGTAGCAAAACGTTGTCCTGGGGTGACAAAATATTGACCGCGGCTGTGATTGTAAAAATGGCGATAAGTCTTGAAACGCTGCGACCTCGGACGGTGGCGTGGGAATCGAAGGGTATAGGGTAAAGCGGTGGGTCGAAAACTACCGTAAACGAATTCAATGCTTACCTTTAACATCGTTTTCATGGAATTGCGTACCGGATGCACTGCGATTGTGAGGCCCAGTGCAATTCATAAAAGCGAGGCCCTCCTACAGTAGTAGCTGCACAACCGACAGGGAGCCGTAAATATACTGTTGTCGCGCTGTCGAGTACGTGCGATTCTTATCGTTTACTGACGCGACTCGCGGTGTATTTTGGTGATTCGGACAGACAAAAAATAATTATAAAAAAAAAACAACGGATGATGATAATAAATACGATATATATAGTATATAGTACTAGTTACCACAAATGACAATTTTACAGCGTGATATCAACAACATCACCACCCCGCGTTATCTGAATGCCCTGCTGAACCAATCGATGGGACCGCGCACGCAGTCTCGGAGATGGAGATCGCTAAAATTGTAATATTTCTCCGAGACGATGAACACAACGATGGCTGGATGTATAAATCAAACCAGCCGTTGGAATGATCGCACCTGGTTGACCCGCCGTGAAGGTACGCAAACGATTGGACCGGCACACGCGGTTTGTTCGATAATCAAGGGGACTAAAATTGTGTGCAGTACGACACACTTTGTGTAGTATGAAATTAAAAAGTGTGTTGTGGTTCTATTCTCTATATTATGGTATTTGTTTTTAATTTTACATTTTTTTATTAAATTATCTTACGCGTTTTTAAAATTCCAAGGTGTATCATCAACGAAATCTAAAATATCAACTATTTTAACTGCGTTACTCATTACTGTTAACGTTTGAAAGTGGAGTATGACAAAATCCATAAGTGTGCAGTACGAAAAATGATATATTTTAGCCTATGGCTCGATTGGACCGGCGCACGATAATCCGGGGAACCTCCGTCGTAACTCACCGAGTCCGTCGTCACACGCGTTCATTGTGGAACCGATTAACACCCGACCGCGAACGGAAAACGGACGACTTCCAAAAAAAGGTCGCTCGGAACGAGACAAAAACGTGACAAGACACCACAATGTCTGATCATAATGCAGGTGGAATCGTGACAGATAGCACAGCGACGACGTCGTGGTATTCATGAACGAAACAATATGTATCTTAGTTATACATTCATACAAGAAAAATTATACTTATGTATTATTTTATTTTATGTAGTTCCTCCAAAATTTATCACCCCGGGGCAATTACCCAACCCACTTGCCAACGTTGAATCTGCCGCGATCGCGTACAATTCCTATCGACGGAATGACGCGGGGCCAGTTCGGTGGTGGCCGCACTTCCTGCACGTATCTCGCGCTGGCACGGATTATCGTACGACACGTTTACGGCCGAACAGCAGCAACCGGTACGGGAGTTAAGGATTTTTAAAATATACATTTTATAATAGGTTGCGACACAAAAACGTTCGATCCGTTAATCATTTAACGCTTTAAAATGTAACACTTACACGTACGA